CACACTACGCAGCAACACAAGTAAATCTTTTCTAAACTCTGACATCCTATCTTCTTCTTCCATCCCAATCTTATCCAACACATCAAGATTATTGCGGTACGTAGGATCATAACATATCTGAGCACGTATCACTTCCAGAATCTGACCCACATGAACCAGTTGATTCTCTCTCAATGGAGAAAGGCTCTTCATGGTGGAAACATACCCTGAAAGGAATTGAACAATACTAAATGTTGCATCCACCTCAGTGTTCTGCATTACATGAAAAACTGAAGGCAAAACTCCATTCAATAGTTTAATTGAGACTCCTTTAATATCTTCAGAGTTCAATCGTTTATGGCACTCCAGAGCCTCAACAGCATACCCTGTAAGCAATGCAGCTATCTTTGAAACCAGTTCTGAGTCCCTATCCTCAGATATCAATCCAAAAACACGACTAAATTGCAGGCTCTGCAAAAGTGATAGCTTTGACTGTGGATCCATGCGCTTAGACACCACCGCCAAAACACATCCAGCTGCAGCACCACGAAGTTGGTCAGACAACCCATCAGCCAAAATCAACTCAAACAACAATGGGATAAAGACATCATTAACAATCAACCCAATATCAATCCATGAAATATATCTCCTTGTACAATCCAACACACTAGCACAAAGCTCAGGATCTGAATTCCTATACACTGACACAATGTCATACCAAGCTCTAACAATCTGAGGAACACACTGTTCTCTCATGGCATCCTTAACCCGGCCTGCTATCGACACCTCTTCCGTTGTTCTGGGATAATCCAAGCTAATTAACTCATCATCCAATGCATTCAAAATTCGAGAGAACATATCAATCACAACTGCCCCTTTTCTCAAATGAGGAAGAAAGTCAATAAAAACGGATGACCAAATTAATGGGTACTCAAAATAAATCAAAGTAACCAAAAGTTGAGCAAGCTTGTTCTTGACAAATGCAGGACTCTCCAGAACCCTAACAACGTTCCTATCATCTAATGCCTCGAAACAAGCCATGGAAAACACAGATTTTCGAATAAAACTCTTCTCCTCCACACTCATAGACCCGCACTTGACCCGAATTACCTCATGTAGAGTCTGCAAACACCAAAACTGAACTTGAACAAGTTTGCAAAACCACAACTTCTCAATACATATGCTACACGAAGATGGGGTTTCTTTAACTTGCTGACAATAGGCCACTGCCTGTGATTTTAGAACCGAGTCCACAGCACCGGATTCGTCAAAACTAATAAGTATCGCCTTTTCAAGGTCGTCCATATCTACTTATTTCGAAAACTCTTGAAAAAAAATTTAAAACTCAATAAACTTATCTTCCGGTTTGCCGCTTAATCAATAAATCTCTCACCAAACGAATATATACACTAGCTTAAATTTGATCCTTGTTTATCATTCGAGGGTTCTTCTTCATGAAGTATTCCACGCGATTTAAGATAGGGACTTGTTGGAGAGATTAAGAAAGGGATATTTGAGAGAGCTTACCGCTTATGATCAGATCAAAATAGAGAGAAGCCTCTACACAATGTGCATTTAGGCGGAGGGTTACTCGGAGAGAGAGAGGAGGGTTGATGGCAGCAAACCCTAGTGCTAGCAGGTTGGGGTTTTATTTATAGTTTAGTTTTCTCAGAGTCTGTGACAACGAGAAAGATGAGAGAGGAATCCATTTATAGAGAGCATGTGAAATTACTAAAATACCTATCGGTTTGTAACTTAATGGCGGTTTTGATGATTAGGTGCATGCGAGTTCTTGTTGTTGTCACACGTGGCATTGCTTATTGGGAGATGATTATTATTACAATTATTTTGAGCCGTGGGATGGAAGCATCAATGCAGCTTACAATGCGCCATGATCTTTTCCGGAGGGATGATGCAGCTTAAATGTTTAATTAAATTTGGAGGGTAATTACAGACAATAATCTTGGGAATTATGTTAGAAATTCTATAGGGATTTAATGTTGGACCAACTATTTATATTTCTAAAATGCATAGACTATATATTTTATCATAATGTTGCAATTTTTCCGATATCATTTTATGTTTTTTATTTTGGTTACTTGTGTTCTAAGTTATGCTTTTGTTAGTTTTTATGTTTTTTATATTTAATTTAATTTCATATTTATTCAAATTTCTCATAAATTAATTTACTAATTTACGATCACTTAGTATAGGATGTTGGGTGTTCTTAGATGACTTTGTATTGAAGGCATGGGCGTCTAGCATCGCCAAACTGGTTTTGATGAATTAGTTTCTATTTTTCTTATATTTTACTTACGATAATAATTATTACTTATTATGTTCGATTTTAATTTTTTACTGATAATATTTTTAAAAGATTTATCAAATTTATAAATAATTTTGAGTTACTAGATATTTTTATACTTTTTAATAGGGTTACTATTAAAGTAACGTGATTGGAACGTTGCATGTTATTTTTTTCAAGAATATTAATTATTATTTTTTAATATTTGGTCAAAATTTGTTGCCTAATAAAGTTTTTCTTGACCAAATTTGTGCTTCTTTTATTATATGTTTATAATGCCTATTAGAATATTTTAGTTAAAATGGAAGAATTAAAAGATTGGTTTGATTGAAGGGTCATTTTTATTTTTAATATTTTTCTAAAGCTAGTTGAAATTTATATATTCTAAGACATTTAGTTAAAAATTAGATTTTAATGTTTTAAAAGATATTATACTATGTTAAGTAAATACAACTAAGGTTATTAAAAACGTAAATTATCTCATTAGGTTATTAAAAATAATTAAGGTTATTACGGATTATTAGCACTAGTTGTAGTTTATAATTTATGCTTAAGTTTTATGAGATTAATCCATAATTGACTGATATATATACCGACCTTCTATTGTTATTTTCTCTAAATCAACTTCAATTTGTTACTAATTTTGATTAGTTAATTTTAAAATTGAAAATGACATCATTATTTACTTTATTCATAACTTTCTAATATATTATCAAAAATTGGTCCTAACTTTGAATTATTGTTTTTAATGTTTAAATTCTTATACAAAGGTTATATAAAATTTATAAGCGTTATTCACTTTTAGAAAAGAGGTCTAGATGATTTCCTTTTTATTAAGTGAGTTATATATATATATTTTTTGAAAACAATAGATTGCATCTAAAATAACAAACATATTGTTTTAAAACATCATTCACATGGGAAAAGAAAAATTATTCTATTTTGTTTTTTTTTTCCCTCATGTTCATTTTTGTGTAAAGAGTTATTGTTTTCTCAGGTTAAATACAGTCTGTTTATGGTCATGAAACTTTTTTTTTAAGGATTCATTTACAATAATGTAAGAAAAAAATTATATATCATCATCTACATCAAGAACACTTTAATATTTTCTAACGACTATGTAAGTTTAGTTAAACTAGTCATATAAAATTTTATCTAATATTATTTATTAAAAAAAATACTTACTTTAAATATTTTATCATTAAAAGATACTAAAATTTTGGATATATTCTTTTTAAAAAAATATAAGTTAAAATAGCAATTTATTTTTCTATTGCTCTGAGTTTAATGCTAAAATATTTTAATTCTCTTGAATGATAAAGTTATTTTTTAAGATGTTTCATTTCATTGTAACTATTGAAATATATTATTTTTTTATAACTTTTCATTTTTTTCTTCTTATCCACATGTTTCATATCTACACATAAGACCAAAAAAAAAATATTTCAACATGATATAATAGATTTCATGTTATTACATTTTATTCATGCAACTTTTTTGCAATGTTATTGTAAAATATCTCTTGACAATTTTAATTTTCATGGTAAAAGATTTTGTATGTAACGGCCCCGGAAAATATTAAAATGAAATGAGTATTTAAATATATCGAATGCGGAAGCGAGATCAAAATTTCAGTTAACATCCCTTACACGAAAAACCAAACAAACGTACTTAAAATATAAAAGGTTAAACTAACTAAGAAAGAAAACTCGAAAATAAACTATGCGTATGACTACAGAGTCTCTAGGCATCCCCTTCGTCGTCCTCCTGCGGAACGGGCTCGGGAACCATGTCTTCCTGATCTGAAATGGTTGATTAAGGAGTGAGTTACACTAGCCCAGTAAGAACATCACGATATCTCACCGTCACGGAGATAAAGGTGGGTAGAAAACCACAAAAAGGCCAATGGAGCATAATTTACAACAAAACCCAATATCAATTATAATCAGTTTACCATCCACTTTCCTCGGTGGAAATTATGAAACATATGAGAAAAACAATAACATTATCATAATCCTTGAATAATTTAAGATGTAAAACATAACACTTATCACGCCTCTTGTAATTCAATCATTGTACAACATATCTTTTTTCTCATTTACCAGCCTACTAGTATCCGTGGGGGTCCATAGGGGTTCCGCTACCCGTTAACCTTTAACATTCATAATCAGTTTCCAGGGCCGTCCCCATACCCCGTCCGGTATGGGCGCCAAAACCATGAACCTCAATACCCCGTCCGGTATGAGGGTGAAACGGGCCGTCCCCATACCCCGTCCGGTATGGGCGCCAAAACCATAAACCTCAATACCCCGTCCGGTATGAGGGTGAAACGGGCCGTCCCCATACCCCGTCCGGTATGGGCGCCAAAACCATAAGATCTCCATACCCCGTCCGGCATGTGAGACCACAATCCAGGTAGGGTTCCCTACGGACCCGGTCCGTCCACCATCTCCCAGGATATCTAGTCAGGCTGACCCCCATAATACAATTATCAGTCTACACAATCTTTCATTTTCCTTTTCCTCAATCAGCATCATCAATTCACATTTAAACAAGCAAATCGTAATTCATACCAAACAGACAACATACAGTATCAGTTTTTCAGTCATTCAACCCATAATTAATAAAACAGTAATATATGCATTCGAAACTATAAAATGAACACATCAAACCCCATAATGCATTTAAAGCTGTAAACAGGCCAAATAACAGTAAATCATCAATCACACTAGACTCGGGCTCCATTAGCAACCTTAAGCAATTTCACACATGCGTTAATTCAAGAAATACCGTTTTATCATTTTGAACTTTAATACCGTGATAGGAAATAGGGTGAGGGGTCCTTACTTGTTTTCGGGATCCGAATACGATTCACAGTGCGCCTGCAGGCTGTCCCTAATTTTCCCTGAATTTTTTCCG